CCCCCAACTACATTTTCACCGAATTGCCTAGTCAGGAAGGTACACAAAAACACAAAAGGACTATACCACGATCGACCTTCTCTTAATCTTGACACGACCTTTGACTAATATGCAGGTATATTTGCTTCAGCCTTTCCAAGACTTCAAACTTTATAGGGCTAACGTTTCGGCGAGTTCGCCTTCGTCAGAGCCTAAAAGTCGAAAGAACCATTGAGATGCAGGTATTTCAGAAGTCTTGTAGCATTAGCGAAGGAGTTATATCAGAATATGTCCTGCGTTCCCATAGTCCATAAATAGTAGTTAAGCAAAAGTTGTTCTCTCTTGTTAAACTTTCAACATACATAACAAAAGGACTGATTCGCCGTTCTCGCAGTTGACATGAAATTATGGAAGCCAACAAAGTCTACAGGCCCGTCCGTGGCACTTTGCCAATTTTTGCGAGGACTTGCTGTGAAACCTCTTTTGGTACGACACCACGGCCGTAACCCCGCCCCAAATCCGAAACGGGTTGCGGTTGGGTTGTTTGGGTTGCGTTGTGACGGCTTGATTGGAGCACGGGTGAAAGAGGTTGGAGCCGTTGATGCAGGCTCTTGCACCTTTTTTAATTGTTGGGACGTGATCAGGTTTGTTTCTCGCCGGAGCGTCTTGAACTGCCTGAACTTATTTAGTGATGGAATATGCTTAATAATGGATTTGGGGTTCTTGTCGTCATTTCCACATCATAGTAGTTCCCCCATTTCGATACCAAAGGCGTTTTGGACCTCGAGATTGATAGAGTGAATTTCGGTTTACGCCACTGATGCAGGTATTTCAAAAGTCTTGCTTCGCTTTAGTATGCTACATAAGTCGTAAAATAAGAGCACAGCGCCAACTAAGTTATATTGAAAGTACCGAAGATAACTTTCAAAATGATCAAGCTTTAGCTGTCAGCTGCTGCTTTTCTCATGGTAACAAAGTTGATAACATGACACAGCTAAGCAAATGTATCCCATTTTTGTTTTTTATTAAAGGCACTGTTCGCGATAATTCAATGGGCGGGCACGTCAATGACGTGTCTGCCTCTCATTCGACGCCACGTCAGACTGTCTGACGTGACATCGAATGAGAGGCGGACACGTCATCGACACACCCGCCCATTGAATAATCGCGAACAGCGCCTTTAAATGCGCCAACGGCTCCAAGCTCTCTCACCCGTATTCTAATCAAGCCGTCACTTCGTAACTCACGTAGAACTTATCATCAGATTTATTACAGTGGATAGGACACCTTATGGGGTTGAATTCAGGTTACTGAAGAAAACGAACATGTCGAAGCGTCAGGCCGTGGAAATAACCCCTCGATATACTAAAAAAAAAACAAGCACAGAAGAATCAACATTACAAATAAACCGCCGAGTTCGCGGAAAGGGTAAGTTGAAGATCACTTTAGCATGGCTCAAACAATGTCAAGCATGAGGTCGGGAAAAATTGAAGGCCAAAATCTCCTTCCTCTTCCCCTCCTTCCTACAAAAAAAGGGCTATGAAGGAGGTTGATTCACGGACACTCCCGATGGGACATATTCAACACTGCGGCCAAAAATTTCTCGACATAGTTGACCCTCGCTCAAGCACCCCTCCATGCCTCTTAGTTAAATACAGGATTCACGCCAAGAAATTCGATACACTCCAGTCCCATCGCAAAGTGAACCTGTCAAGAGAGAAGGGATCTTCTCCCACATTCGCTGATTTCTTCTGTGAGTTTAATATGCAAGTTTACTTAGATTATTTCCAAGCCAACAGTATCTCGATGAGAAGGTGCGGACGAGGGCTGGTTTTACTGCACATTTTCTTCTCCCCATCCACAAAATAGCACGGATGAATTTTTGAAAACCCAACAGAAAGGTGGTTCAAACATAGTAACTCGCAATGGAGTTATAGCAGAGTATGTCCTGCGTTTCCATAAGCCATAAATAGTAGTTAAGCAAAAGTTGTTCTCTCTTGTTAAACTTTCAAATCGCTTTTCAAACACAACTTGACACGCCCCAAACGATGCAAAAGAAATAGTGGAACATACCTTATTTCTGCGATTAGCGAAGTCGAGTTCCACTTCGAACTCAGTGACACAATTAGCGACTTCGTCAAAGAGCCGACAGCGCCAGAAATACAATACAGCAACAGACCAACATATAGTAACCTCCGCACCATCCTTAAAGTGTAAATTTTGCGAAGTATGGAAGACACATCAGGTGAAGTGAATTTTGTGCTCATCATCGATTGAAGTAAAACGTCCTCAACCACAGCTAAACATTATCGCAGCCTATGTCTTCGAAGCTGCGTATAAACGCTTACACTAGTCGCCCGGAAACCCATCCCAACATATCGAAAGACCGATCCATTCACTTTGGGAGAACAATAGACCAAATGTTGAGGAATTGCAACACGATGCATACTAGTGAGCAACAATATTGACTTCGAAATGGTGCCTCGTTACAGTGACGATACAAACGGCCATATACATAACGCCCGCAAGGGAGAATCATCCAAGTATCGGGTCTATTAGGTGGAAGTTTCTGCAGTTTGAATAATTTTCCCGCGCGCGCATATTTGAATGCATTTGCCATTGGAGCGCTTTAACCTCGCAATGGCTACTTTCAGAGTTCGACGACCGTCCGTCCGTCCGTCCGTC